TATTCTTTCCTTAATAGGCACAAAGTGATGAAGAGGACTGCAATGCTTCTACTCAAAAAGCTAAAATATTGGGTTTCTCTGAAGAGAGAAAAATTAGGAGATTCATAAGAGAATGGCTATTAAAAGCTCCATTAAGACCCTCTCTAAACTATCCTCATTTAAGTGGAGAGGGAAATTAGCCCCTATAGGCATTTATATTTAGAATGGGCTCGGAAAGAGGAAGAGCTCACATTTGAACACTTAAGGACTCTAACATGCCCATCCATAAATCATTTCAAGGCAAGGCTGTCACCCTGTATCTTCTGCAATGCCTCTGAAATAGATGGGACCCCAAAAATCTCATTCTCCCCAGGACAGGGAGTAGGGTGTGAAGTCCATGAAGAACAAAGAATCATAGTCATCATTTACCCCTACTAAGAACAGATGTAGTAAATACATATATCTCTTCATTGAAATCTTCACTTACTTTCAATACCAACTGTAGACAGGTAAAGGGAATGATAATGTTTGAGGGCCCCCCAGATCTGTACAAAGATGTGCCTATTAAAAGAACATAGAAACAAATCTATTGAAAAAGAATGAAGTATGTGACTTCATATGCTTTCATTTTTAAAGCTGCATTTATTTATCTAGTGGTGCATCTTTATACAGAAAAGGCTGGATAACAGGGGCAGGGGAAGTTCTAATTGTTTTAATCTACCTTTTTTCTACCAAGACACTATTTCAAAGTTATAAAAAAAAAGAGGTTTACAGAAACTGGAAAACACACACACACACACACACACACACACACACACACACGAGAAACCAGCTATTTTATCCTTTCAGCATGGTAACCAAGGCTCCTTTGTGTCTACAAAATTCTCAGGGTGGTGCTATTGCCAAGAAATTCTAATTCATGACAAGGTTTTCTACAAATTGGGGATAGTGGCAAACCTGCGGATGGGCAGATCTCACAGTTTGCTTTGTCTTTCTGGCTGAGACAGCACTTGGGTGCTCAGGCCTTAGAGGCAATGCAAAGGCAAGATCATATAGAAGGAAAAGCAGCGTGGTTCACTGAGCAAATCCCATCCTAAGTACCACGAGCCTGTTCTTGGAAGGCAACCACTTCTGCAGGTTTCCCCCTAGAGATGCTTCACACCAAAAGCCCTTAAATATAAAACGTCTCAGGGTGCCTGCAACCAAGATGAAATAGCAACGTTATGGGGACACTTTAGTCCTTAGAGTAGCCAACTATGCCATTAGTTTAAAACAATGGGGGAATGGAGGAGGAGGGAAGAAGGTTCTATGATTTATTTATTTGTTTCCAGTAGCAGTGGAAAATTTTCTCCAAGCCAAAGAGAGGCCTGAAACTGACCCTATTTGCCAATTATGAATCAGCATTAACTATGAGCATAATTCCATAAGATTATTCAAGTAAACATGATAAGCTCCTCTATGACATGAAGCAAAGTTAAGTCCCAAAGAGACTCAGAGCATCATGACTCGACCTGAACTCATGAGATAGGAGGCTAGGAAAAATAAATATATAAAAATTCTAAGAGTCTTTGTATAGTCTAGAAAGAAAGAGCTAAGAGGATTGTATCAAATCTGCATTTTTTTGTCTGTTTTTTTTTTCAAGTCAGCATTGGGAGCAAAGAGTCATAACTTCTCTTAATAACAAAAGTCATGAATGGGTCTCCCTTTAGCTAGCGTCAAATGGTACAATATAATCTATTCCAGCTTGGGTTGTATTCTTGACATTTTCCTTTTTTTTTTTTTTTTTTGCTCAGATAGCTTTTGGAAAATTTCCTGCAAGTTTCCAAAGAGCTTAAAGCTGGTAGCCTTAAGAGTTGTGTCAGCTGAATTCCATAAAATAATAGACCACATAAGCAGAGTGTAATTTACAGTTATATGACAGGCAGAGATGATATTACTTGGGCCAAGTGCTTAAGTATGCAGTCAGAGTCCAAGGATGAAGAGCTGTTAATGTGGGATGTCCATTTGGGTTTTAAAATTACACCAGCAATGATTTCCGGAGTTGGAGCTATATGTAGCTAAGGCATCGCTGCCTGAAAATCCAATGTCAAAATGATGATCTCCACGACAGGAGTTGGCCCTGTCACAAGCTCAGTGACACAGGAAATTATCTCATATACTAAGTATGAAATAAAATCCACAAACAATTCATCCTCAATTTTTCGAATACACATATTTAAGGTTTATCATCCAAGCCACTCTTCTCTAGACACCAAATCAGATTATTGAGATCTTGGTTTTTCACTCATTTCCCGGAGGCCAGGTACATTGTTCATTTTAAGAAGAACATTTAATAATTACTCCTTGTTTGACCTCTAAAATCTGATTATCCCACAGCAGCAGAAGACTTTCTCCAGCCTGGGTTTTCTTGTAGCAACCCTCTTGAGCTGTTTTGAGTAAAGAAGTCTCAAAATTTCACCATCTGATGGTTGATTGTGAACCAACAGTTGCGTATAGCCATCATCACTCAGAAGAGGCAAGGGGATGGGGGTAGGGAGAGGAAGGAAGAGATGAAGGCTGAAGGTTTTGAAATCAGTGTGAACTTGGGAGTTTGGGCTACCTTTATATAGAGCAGTTGGAAGGAGAGATTCCGGAGCAAAATCAGAGTGGAATCTTATTTACAAGTGTTTGCGTACAAGTTGTGCTTCAGTCTGAACTATGAGTGTGCCTCTGAAATAATTTGAAAGATCTTAAGGTGAGAGTGGTTGGCAATTGGAGAAGATTAAGACAATAAGTAAGAACGGAGTTCAGAAAGAACATACCTCTGCCTGCAAATAGAAACTAAGCTTGAGATTCCTTGCAGGAAGGGGAGGGGGAAGAGCTTGTGAGGAAACAGCAAAGATGGCTTGTGAGGAAACAATAGATCTAACACATCCACTAATTGTCAAGCCAATGATGTCTCTGCAGATGTAGAGTTTCTCCAGGATGGTCTAGCTAGATCTAGAAAAGCAGGTTTCCTCTGGAGAAACTGTTCTCCAAAGCAGGCTTTACTACTCTGAAAACTTGAACCAAAACAAAGTTGTGTGATTCATCAGGAGGGAACGTTGTAACAAATAAAGCCAACTTTCTTCCCTCCAACACTGCTTAACAGTCACAAACAAGAGCTGCCTGGGGCAGGCTGACTACATCAACAGATTCCCTTCCCTAACCTGTCTAGACAGTTGTTAATATGCAATGATTGGACACCAGTGCACTGGTGGGCTGATGGTGTGAAATGAAGGCTGTTTAGAAAATGAAATTCTGACAACATTTTGGTTTAATTAGCATGCAAAATAAAAGGAGTCAAAGAGATCCAGTGAGACCCTTCATGAGATACAGTCTTATGAAGGATGAGGGGAAAGATGCATTGAAGAAATGTTCTGTGCTAAAAATATATGAACTGTGCATGTGTTGAGAAACCTAAGAGTTGAGAGTATTTGCCAGCATCTTGGGACAGGAATGCATGCGTGGACACACAGAGACACCAGAGGCCAATACCTGGAGGAAAACTCCAGCTTCTAGTCAAACAGCTTCTAGTCAAAAGAGAACAACAACTAGTAACAATGGTACAGTCAATTGGCTTTGTCACAGGCTCCTTCTACTAAAAAAATCCCCCAAAACCAAAAACCCCAAAAACAAACAAACAAGAAAACCCCACAAACCCTAAAATCCTCTTCTTACAGCAGCAACTGTTTATATCCCAGCTTCAAGCTGACAAATCCTGCTTTGGATCCTGGCAGAGAAAATTCAGTCTTTCATTAGCCTTAACAAGCTGCTGACACTGAGCAGAGAAGTTACAGGATCAGCCACACACATCCTAGCACAGCCCTCCCCCAGGGCAAGCAGGTTTCTCTAGGACTGACAGAGCAAGTTCACCTTTCTGATGCACAAATCCCAACTGTCTTCCTGGACTTTCCATGGGGAACATCTTAGAGTTTTTAAATATGGAGCCCTTCCTCCCCCGCCCTCCCCCCCAACCCATCTTTCCTGCAGAATGTCCCCTTCAGCAGCTCCTAATCCATACTGGGGAAAACAAAAAACAAAAAAACACTGTTCTCCACAGAAGACCTACTGCTTTCCACTGACCAGCACTTTCTTTATTCCACTTCACAAAGCCCTGTGAACTTGTCCCCAAGCCCCACTTCATCCTAGCTGGGACTCCTAGCCAACTTGGCACCAGTGCCCTTCAGCATCCTTAGGAGTTTCTTAACTAGTCCACCAAGACAAAGTCAGAGGCACAGAAACACACACCACCTTTTGTCCAAAGGTTGGGCTCACAGCAAAGAGATCTCAAAGAAAGAAAAATAAAAGGGAAAGAAAGGAAAGGAAAAAAAAGAAACAAGGACAGAAGTAGAGGGTATTTTCTCTCTGGAGGCATTACCCTGGGGAAACCTACAATGCTTAGTCAGCCTGAGATAGATCAGTCCTTGTAGATATCCTCGGAGCATCTTTTGTCACTGGGCTTCTCTCCCTTCTGCCCACCTTGTAATCTCAAAAATCAAGCTCCTATTCTTTATTGATACTCGCTAATTACTCCGCTTTTCCCTTCCCCCAACTGACAGTTCTCAGCACCAGTTGAAATAGATAAACCTGATTTAGGTATCAAGTAGGTAGAACTCGTGCATGTAGGGAGGTGGTATCCTGTTAACCATCGCTCTTAAAGCCCCAAACCACCTCTCCACCCGGTTCCTCCGAACCCCAGAAGTTCTCCGGGTCTCTGATAGGGGACAGTGTGTGCGCAAGGATGTGTGTTGGTGACTGAAACGCAGGCAGTTCGGACCGGCTGCTGGGCTCGGCGCACCAAGGGGTTTAGGGGTGGGTGGAAAGGTAAGCGCATAGGACTGTTTCCAAAAACATTTTAAACAACGTACAGCCAGAAAGGGGAAAAATAGTACTAATAAATAATAATCAAACAAAAAAATGCAACCCAAAGCCCACACCAACGCAGCCCCTGCGTCTCCGCAGCCACCACACGATTTACACAAGTAATTTAAATCATTCACCTGCTGCCAGGTCTCCTCCAGGGATGGCAAAGCTGAGAAGTAGCCGGTGTCGTGGACAAGTTGTAGCTCCTGGAATATACTATAACTAGCCAACACGTCCATGCTGCTGCAGCCGGGCAAAACGGGAGGACAAACCCTCCCCCGAGCACAGTTGGGTCTGTTTGTTTGTCAGTCTGTCTGGCTCACCCCCCAAGAAGGCAGACATCCAGTGGCCCTTTTGTTTTGTTTTGTTTCAGTCAACTAAAAAGGAAAAAAAAAAATCAATGCAGGAGAGAGGGAGAAAGATGAGAGAGGAGAGAGCGAGTGGGGAGGATGGAGAGAGACGTCCAGCGTGTACAGTGCAGATGACTGCCAGGAAAAGGGGACTTCACGGGAGTAACAATTCCCTTCCAGGGTAATCACTCCAGCTCGTGGACCAGGAAGGGGGATGCAAACTCACTGACACGAAGCTGCCATCTATTTCTGCAGCGCTGTTCGCTCCTAATGCAATCTTTGCTCTTTATTTTGGGAGGTTGCATTTTTTTTCCCCTCTCCCTCTCGCGATCGCTCCTCTCCCCCACACCCCTTCCCTTCCCTCCCCACCCCCCACCCCATCCTTGCTAGTTTGTAGTCTCCCCACCCCCTCCCTCTTTTCTCCTCCTCCTGCTCTTCCCCCCCCCCTTCCCTCCCTCCCCAAACTCCCTCCCTCCGCCCGGCTCTGCGCGCAGCCGTGGGATTTCGGAGGAGGGCGTCCATTAGGCCGCGTGTGACCATGTAAGGTAAACAGGGGGCTCATGAAGTCACTGAGGACCAATAGGGAGCTCGGACCGGGCCCAGGGGCGGGGCCTGGCCCCAGCGGCAGGCTCGGATTGGCGCGCCGCGGATCTCCCTGCTGCCTTACAAGGCGGTGCGAGGCGAGCTATTTTTAGAGGGCTATATAAGGGGGCCGAGCCGGCGGCCTGGCGGCCGGGGAGCGCCAGCGCCG